TATATGAACAGTGCAAGTGAATTGCATTGTTCACTGAACAGTGTAATTAACGTAAATAGTAAATGAAAAGCAGCATTTCTTTGCTTTTTATTAACTACGATTTAATCGTGAAAATTATGTAGGACCCATGCATAGTAAATCAATTTTTTTTTTACCAAACAGCTGCAAACTGCGTTTTAATTAAAAAGCAGCCGCAGCTGCGTAAACAAACACCATCTTAGAGCTGATGCTTTTCTATGACCTCATTTATCTTCATTTCATCACTTTGACGGGTCTTCTTCTCAACTAACAAGTGGATTTATCATCATTGTGCATTAAATTAATCCTTTTTGTGGCCCTGCTTGCCGTATTCTTTGCTTCATTTTCTTTATAACCTAATTCTAGGTTATTTCTTAAAAAATCAATTCTATTTTAAAGATAAAAAAATTAAAAAATAATGATAGCTAGCAACGTGGAGAAAGCAAAATAAGAAATCAAGCTGCAATTTGAAGAAAATTCAAAACCTAATTGTACCCTATTATATCAAAAAATAAAGAAAAAAATACAAATTCAAGGTCAAATTAAATGATTATTAGACAAATTTGCATAAAAATTAAGTCTATTGACATAATTAAATTTTTAATAGGCCAATTTGACTTAATCATAGGCCAAATTAAATTTTAATTATATTTAAGAATTAATTTGGATCCAATTGAAGGATTTAATTAAGTGCAAGGACTTAATTATACTTTAAAATAGGTCAAATTAATTTTATTTAGAGCTTAATTGGTGAAAAATTAAGTTTGGGAGTCAAATTTCGGCTTAATTGAGAAGATTGAAATTTTAAGAGACCAAATTTAATTTTTACCATGTTAATTGATTGAAATTAGGGGCTAAATTGCAAGAAAATTGAATTTTTTTTGGTCAATTAGGGGCTAAATTGAAAAAATTCACATCCAAGGATCAATCTAGAAAATGCGCCAAAATTGAGGGGCTTAATTGACAAAAATCAGTGGTGAAATTGAAGAAATTGAAAGTTTAGACTTAATTGACAAAAATCAGTAGTGAAATTGAAGAAATTGAAAGTTTAATTGTCAATTAGGGGTTCAATTGCATAAATCCAAGACCAAGGACCATATTGCAAAAGGCGTGTAAATACAAGGCTGAAGTTGAAGTTCTATAGGGACCTAATTGAATTAAATTAAAAGTTTAGGGTTGATTAGGGGTTCAATTAAAATCAATTGAAAGCTAAAGGACTGAATTGAAAATCATTAAAATTCCTAATTCAATCCAAAAGACGTTTAAAAAAAGATAGATGACGCGTCGTTTGGAATTGTTTATTGTCTTCCCCGATTTTGCCCGAAAATGTTGTCCGAATGGCTACAAATACATTTAATGATTCATCACTCCATCAAATCTAACAAAACATGCACGAAATGATCTCGTGCAATTGCTTTATAACGCTGACTAAACAGTTCAGTCTAAATAGCAACGAGACGGCGCTGGCGCTGGCCTAAATAGGCCAACTCATGCAACCTTTTTCTGCAAATTTAACGGCTCACGATACATGCTTTGAGCCAACGGTTGGGATCCTTCCCAACCAAATCAAGGGCTGAAATTTTTCCCCGGTATAGACAAGATTGTCCTCTCCTGTCGGCTATAAATAGAGGTGGAGTTCATGACTTGAAGAAAGAGAAAATCAAACCTAAAGTTGGCCGAAAACTAGCCTTCTCTGCTTAAATTTTCCTACAACCAGCCCTTTCTCTATTTCCTCTCTCTGCCATAGCCTTTAGCCACCACCATCATCATCACCTGTCTTATCACTGTCATCTCCACCTCAAGTGGCCACCCAACCATTTCAAGTGGTGGTTGCACCACTTCTCTCTCTCCCTTGCAAAACTTTGCTCCCCTGCCATCACAACGCCAAGAACAGCAACCACAGCCAACAGCCGGGATCACCGCCTCCAGTCACCGTGCACCACTAGTCAAGCTGCCAGCTCCCTCGACGCCAAGTAAGCTCTCATCCTCTCTTTTTCTTCCTCCTCTCTTTTTTGCCGATTACACATGAATGGTGCAACATGAATTATAATTCAGGTTGCACTGTTTTGTGCAACTTAGTCACTAGGCACAACCGAGTGACTAAACAGTTTTTGGGCTGGACTTGTTTTAGCCCAACCCAATTGGTTGGGTTAGGTCCAACCCAAAAATATGTTGAATAAAGGATATCTGGGCCAAGTCCAGCCCAACTATTTTGGGTCGATATTAGCCCACTTGTTTGTGAGCCTGTGCTGGGCCTAGCCCACATTCTTTTATAATATTTAATTATAAATAATAATTAATAAATAAATAAACAAAAATTTTCCTTAAAAAATCATTTGAAAAAATATTGTGATTTTCTCAAAAAACTTTCTATCAATTTTGTTTAATATTGGATTGTATATTTACACTGTAAGATACAACTTCGGTATTAAAATACCCGATTTTCTCTGAATTTTTTTGAAAGAAACAACATTTTAAATTTTTTAAATCAATTTCCCTTTTTTTCAAACATATATTTGGTTTTCATGCATACGGCCAAGTCTAAAAAATTTTCCAAACATGTTTTCATTAAAAGATTGCATTTTTTCTCATGTTCTAAAAAATCCAAAAATGAATATCTTAACTAGTTTACAATATCCATTAGGATTTGGTTAACATGTCAAAAATCTTTTTCAAATATTTTTAGGATCCAGATATAGACTTTAATATTTGTGAGGTGTAAAGTTACACGATAAAGTACACCTTCAAGTATTAAAGATACAAGGTGTAAAAAAATACGATGTTAAAATTCAAACTTTAGAAGGGTTAAGATTTACCCCGATAAGGTAGAGACTCTTTCATGAAGAGAGATCTGCCGTAAACCTTAAAAAAGACCAACGAGTAGAAACCCGACCTAGAAAAACAGTCAAACAACAATGCAGCTTATTTTAGATAGGGTGCACTGGGGGTGATGTATCTTCCCCCAGTACAACCAGTCCTTACCCAGACTCTCGTAAACCATAGGTTTCTAGTGACCATAATACTGGGTGATCATAATGTTATGAGCCAGCTTGTGCACCCTGTGATAGGATGACAACTCCACTGGGGACCGCCTTGTTGGTTAGACTAAGCTTTGTTTGTTTGATTGTTTGATTATCTGTTTTGGTCTATTTAACTTTACTGTTTCAACACTTTTAATTCTTGTTCATACATAAATACATCAAGATTAACGCATTCATGCATTTTTAATTTTATATAAAGACCCAATTCTAGGACAGGTGGGGAGTAACGACCTGTCTCATGACTTTCAGTCGGGGTTCAGATTCATGAAACATCCAACTATGAGCTGAGTGTTTACTTGATAATGGCGGTCATATAGTGCCCCAACCATCCCTTGTAAACCCCCATACTGCCTTCACGAAAGGTTGTCACTAGGCAGTTCATAGACCTTTTGAGACCAGTTAGAAAACATATCCCTCATATAATAACCTAGAACTTGTATGAACTTTACAAGATTTTTGAGCTAAGGCCATGACTTCCCTTACTTTTTTGGAATATAGGGAAATATATGAGATGATGCAATTAGTCGAAGGGGATTGCTCAAGAACCAAGGGTAAAGAATTACCACACATAACCAAAAGGCACTACTCTATAAATAGTATAAAAAAGTTGGCCCCAATTCTGAGGTATATAAATGAGAATTTGTTTGAGAAGAAGTATGGAAGAATTGCTTATCTAATAAGAATGCCTGTTCAGATTTCAGCAATCAAAGCCTAGATACATTTCTAAGATCCAAGCTATAGATGTTTCACCTTTAGGAATATTGATATGACCCTTACTCTTGAAGAGTATGCCTAGATCTTGAGTTTTCCGAATGACCCTTACAAAGTGTACTTCTGGTAAATAATTGAGAGTACAACTACAGCAGTTGCAAAACTTCTACATTTAGACCAAGTTGATCAATACAGGACATTCAATGGAGGGTTCAAGTGGAAAATGATCGAGAATAAATTGAAGACAGATAAAAAAAAAAGGGAAGTTGGGTGAAGAAGATATCAGATAATTGTTTTTGTCATCTTTGGGCTGGTTCTATTTCCTACAAAAGTCACTGGAATTATTAGCATTGAAGATGCTAACGCATTTCTTGAATTTAAAGA